ACGTTAAGATAAAGTCCGCCTCTAGAAAGCAGGGAAGGGAAAATCACAATCTAATTAAAATATAGATCTCGGATTAACGTAGTATAACGAAATCCGAGATCTATATTTTAATTAGATTAGGGAAAATCACAATGGCATAATCATTGTTGAATTAGATGATGCAGCTCAGAAGAAAACAATATTTAGCCAGAAACGTAAACTAAAGAACAATGCCGCCTATAAGAAAGTTTATATTGACAATGACTTGCCTCTAGAAACAAGAATTGTCCAAAACAACATGAGAATAATCATCAAAGAAATGGGAAAGGAACAAGACATGGTATTTGTCGGTAACAGATTGGTACATAAACGTCACTAGGATAGATTGCGGTTAGGTGTGTGGAACTGTCGAGGATGGTCAACGCGCAGAAACGACAATTCGACGTTCAGAAAGTTAGTTCTCGAACACTCTAATTGTGATATTCTTGCGATTTGTGAATCGTTTCTACGAGAGGAAGAGCAACTTTGTGTCCCAGGATATAAATGGATAGGTCATAACCGTACGAATCTGCATAGAAACGAAGTACGAGGATCTGGTGGAGTGGGTGCTTTTATTCGTTCAGAGTTGTTTAACTCATTTGATATTGAAATAATAGATAAAAGTGTTGAAGGAATATTGTGGATATATTTTAATTGTAAATATAGTGATCTTATTTTTTCTCTTGGAATATGTTATTTGCCACCAAGTGTATCGACACGGCTGAATGATCAAGAAAAATTCTTTGAAAATCTTTTACACCAAGTTTACTGTAATCAATTGAAAGGAAATACGATTATTTGTGGTGATTTTAATGCTAGATGTGGCTTTAACACGGATTATATTGAAGGTATTGACGATGTTATACCTAGATCGGTTATTGATTCTATCGAAAACCATAACGGAGATCTATTTAGCGATTTTTTATCAGATGTCAATTTTGCTATGCTAAATGGTCGATTAGGCGTTAACGATTATACTTATATATCACCAGCCGGAAAGTCTGTTGTGGATTATATTTGTGTGCCGTATGAGCAATTAAACCGTATTTTAGATTTTAAAGTATTACGAATGTCAGATGTAATTGATTCTGTGAATTATCACCCCGAAAGTATCCCAGATCATTCCATCCTATTATGTGATCTTAAATGTGTTATGAAACAAAATAGTAAAAATTACGATTGTAAAGTCAGTAAAAGGATCAAGCGCAATACCAAAAACGTTCCAAATGATTTTCTTTCAGACGAAAGTGTGCAACAAATGGTTCGAGACACAATTACGAAAATAGAAAATTTTATTCACGTCGACCAGGATATTCAAAGTGCTTACAACGAATTTCAAGAGCTTGTCCAACGTGAAATGAGCAATAGATTACCAGTGGTGAAACAAATACAAAGCAAAAGGTCGAAATCCTTTTATAAACCGTATTGGAACGAAACACTACAGAATCAGTGGAATATTGCTTGATAATATGAAAAACAATGGCTGAAATTTCATGGATCTCCACAACGTAAAAAACTCATGAAAGATAGATATTGCAACGAAAGGAAAACTTTCGACAAACTTAACCGGAAATTTAAAAGAAAATTCAACATTCAGAAAGAAAGAGATTTACAAGAGCAGCTGAATTCGAATTGCAAGCGTGATTTCTGAAGAAGTATAGGAAAACTGGGTGTTGCAAACGAAAGAACGGAAAATATACCATGGGAAATCGTGAACCCGGATGGTACGGTAAATACAGACAGAGATGCATTTCTCAATACTTGGAAGTCCGATTTTGAAACATTGTACGCAAGAAATGATAACATTGACGATCTCGATAATTTAGTCAATGAGGAAAACATAACTGATTTACCTGATCTGAACAATAACATAACCCGTGATGAAATAGTCAAGGCCGTTGAACATACGAAATTACGCAAAGCAGCTGGATATGATGAAATTCCACCAGAGGTGCTAAAGAATGAAAGTGCGATCGTCTTACTGCATGTTATATGCAACGGTTGTTTTGAACTGGGTAAAGTGCCTGAACAGTGGACATCTGGAATTGTAAATCCCATATTAAAACCGGGAACAAACGATAAACGCCTCCCAACAAACTACAGGGGAATTACGATTACATCCGTACCAAGCAAAATCTACTGTAGTGTCTTGAATTCGCGTTTATGTAAGCAGTTAGAGGACAACGATATTCTGTGTGAGGAACAAAATGGCTTTCGTCCGAAACGTAGTTGTGAAGAGCATATATATAGCCTTACTTCAGTTATATCAAACAGAAAAATATCAAAACAGTCTACATTCGTCAGTTTTATAGATATGAGGAAGGCGTTTGATTCAGTATCTAGAAGCCTATTGTGGTATAAACTCCGACGTGCAGGTATTCACGGAAAATTCCTGTCCGCCATACAGTCACTTTACGAGAATGTCAAATGTACAGTCCGCGTGAATGATAGATACACTCCATGGTTTGATGTTGACTGTGGTGTGAAACAAGGGTGTTTGTTATCACCGGCAATGTTTGCGATCTATATTAATGATTTGGCCGAACGCATTAACAATCTACAGTGCGGCATTCGAATAGGAGATGATCTTTTAAGTATCCTTCTTTACGCCGATGATATAGCGCTTATTGCACCCGATGAAGATAGTCTGCAAAAAATGTTGGATGTTGTCTCAGATTGGTGTATTCAGTGGAAGCTTGATGTTAATCCGTCCAAGAGTAACGTAGTGCATTTCCGAAATCCATCTATCGATCGTAGTAATTTTAACTTTACTTGTTCCAGACAAAACATTACCTATGCTACATCATATAAATATTTAGGCATGTGGTTAGATGAACATTTAACGTTCGACAAAGCCGTACGCGAACTATCAAAATCAGCGAGCAGAGCACTCGGTGCGTTGTATGGCAAATTTATAAGCGCAGGTGGAATGACACACTCCGTATACTCCAAGTTGTATTCTACTATGGTTGAACCAGTGTTATTTTATAGTTCGGGAATATGGGGCACAAAAGTGCATTCAGTAATAAACTCTATTCAGAACAAAGCATCAAAATTTTTCATGTCTGTTGGAAGATACACTGCAAATACTGCGATTCGAGGAGATATGGGTTGGACCTCGTGTTTTACGAAACAAAGAACTGCATGTATACGATTATTAAGTCGGATATTGCGATCTGATGATACGCGTTTAACTCGAAAGATTACCGAGTGGACTAAAAATCGACGTAAAGGATGGTACGTTAAAGTGAAAAGTTTTGCGGAAACCGTTGATGCCACTGCTATTCTTAATGCTACATTAATTTCTACAAAAACTGTTATGCGAACAATAAAGGAACGCTTTGATGTCGTTGATAACGATGAATTCAAACAAGAGTTGTTTGATGATTCGAACAATGTAAACGGAAATAAATTAAGGACATACCGTTTATACAAAACAAACGTTAAAACTGAACGATATCTTAAGCTACAACTCCCAAAAAATGTGCGTCGAACTGTTTCCCTGTTCCGTAGCGGGTCTCTGCCGCTGGCGATCGAGACAGGTCGATATGCCCGACCGCGAACACCAGTAGATGAAAGACTATGCCGACTATGTAATAGGAACGGTGTTGAAAGTGAAAAACATTTTTTGTTGTTTTGCCCATTATATGACGATATTAGATTTGAATTGTTTGCTAAAGCTAGAACTTTAATTGATGGTTTTGATACTCTTGATATGGACAGTAAATTTATCGAAATAATGTCTTGTGAAGATATACAAACTTCTTTGTCATATGCAATTTTTAAATCTTTTCAGAGACGAAAACTATTTAGCACATGAGAATTTATCAAGCAATAATATTTAATGTTTTTTCTATTTATATTTATGAACAGTGATTTTAACTCAAATACTTTAGTCATTTTGGAAAACCTTTTACTTTTTTGTAAGTTTGACTGTGATAATTAATATTTCTATTTTTATTTCTTATTTTTAAAGCTCAGTGTGATGATAAGTAAATCTTTTTAAATCTTTTTTTAGATTTTTAGAATTTGAATTTTTACACATATAGAGTAAAATGACTTGTTTAGTGAAGTCTTTTAACTTTTAGATTTTAGAAATGTTTGTACATAAGTGTCTCATAAGTCTACATAAGGCTGGATATTTGGTCATTTTATTTTGTGTTGTTTATGTAATTGTGTATATATATATATATGTCTGATCAAATATGTGACACTATAATAAAATAAATCATTATTATTATTATTATTACTATCCCTATGTCGAGCTTTCTGCGACAGAAGTCGCAGGCTCAACAAAAATGAAGAAAAAAAAAACAGTTGATGATTTTAAACCAAAAATTTTTTTTTTCAGATAAAATGTGGGGTACATATATAACCATCTACACCACCCCCTTTTGAATCTGCCACTGATAACTTATTTCAGTGATTTCTTATCAGCTGACCCTGAGCTTTCATTCAGTAAATATGAGGTTCCTTTAATGTGATAGGTTATTATTGTTTGAGATCTATTATATTGTAATCAAGCTTAATTGCTATCCTATGTATACTTTTTTTGTCTGGTTCATTCTTCAATGTACCTTTTCTTCCCCACTGATCAAGGCTAAAAGGTTTACATCTCAAAAACAAGTTTACTCCCTGCATGGTCTAAAGTCAGTCTTGTAAGAGGTTGTCATTTCTTGGATCTAAATGATTGATATTTAGGGGATTTCATATAATTTTTACAGATCTTAACATCTATAAGATAAGGGGCAGTTTAGAGCTAGACATAGTATAGACATCTGTTTAGTGATAAAAATTTTATGTTGACCTGTATACTATATTGCATTGACTAGTTGCTGTCTATTGATGTATACCATTTCCTTATATTCATTTTGTCTTCACATCTGAAGTATATTGCATGCTCGAGAAATTACGTACATTGTTAAAATTCTTGTAGCTGTAAATCCACTGAAAAATTTGAAACTATAGAAACAAATAACAAACTGAAGACAGATATTTTAATTATTTTGATATACTTTCTACAAAAAGTTCCAAACTAAATAAAAGAAAATGTCAATCTTAATTTCGCATTAAAAGTTGCAAACTAAAACAAGAGTAAAACTTTATAGATTCTATAAACTATTTGAACATTTTGCCATCAACATGTACGATATGTCTATATCATGGATACAGATCTAGATTACAAACAATAATTTGGTATACCATAAAAAACACTTTAATTTTTCCTCTCTTATTTGAGCTTATTATTGATCTGGAAAAGTCGTTTAGACTTTTCTTTAAATTACAAACAAAACTGAGTAACTCATTAAAAAATAGCATAGTGATAAATTCATTTGTTGAATTAAAGTTGACTTCGACACGAAAACCACACGGAGATTCATCACACAGAAAAAAAGATGGTTAAAGGAACAAAGGAGAATGTCTTCTGTGTCTCAAGTGCTCAATATCCTGTAAAAAAAAATATTAAGCACGAATTAAATCTTCTCAACAATAAGCATATTAATTTATGGTCTTGAAAAAAAGTAAAATAAATGTAATAATATTAACTGGTTAGAACATTCCAATTTTCTTTCTATTGGGTGTGTTACAATTAAGGTTCTCTTCTAAATAAAACTGGCCATTAGTTTTCTCGTTTGAATTATACGTTTTTTAATCAAGGTGTAATACCACCAAATCACAGCACTTCACATCCGGTTGCATGGTTGCATACGAAAAAGGGTCGAAAAAAAATATTCCCTTGAATTTGACAGTTGTAGGTAATTAATCCTACATTTCATTGCAGTAAAAAAAATATGGGTCAGAAACATATATCTAAGGGGTGTTTCAAAGCACCATTATTTTCTTATTTGGTGTTTCTATAGAATATTTTGGAAACTTGAGGTTACATGGTTACTAAAGCTTGTACACGGATAAAAATGAGGTGAAATTTGATTGGTTAACTTTCAGTGAAGGTTATTTTCTTATATGCAATGAAATGTTATGTAAAATTTTGTCTATAGTACTGGACAGGATAAAACTTTACTCATGCCAAGTATTTCTTGTTGAAACAAAGATAAATTCTGCACAATTTTTTGAAAAGTACAAATTTAACAAAGACTAATAGGGGAAAATCAATGGTGGTATTACACCTCTAAGGCCCTTTATAATTTTCGTAGGATTTGGTATGGGTTTTGATTATTGTTGAAGGCTGTACGGTGACCTGTAGTTGATCACTAATATATCTTGTGGATAGTTGTCTCATTGACAATAATACCACATCTCATTATTAGTCCCCTACCGACGAAGGGGACTTTAGGTTTGCACTCCATCCGTCTGCCTGTCTGTCTGTCTGTCTGTCCATCTGTCAGTCCGGCAAATCAGTTTTCCACACTTTCTCCTTCGTGCTTGAAGATATTGATTTGATATTTGGTGTATTGTTTTATAATGACAAGTTATAGATCAAGTTCGAATTTTGTTCCTGGTTGACGATTTTGTGCAGAGTTATGGTCCTTGAACATAGAAATTTCACTCAAATAATCAGTTTTCCACACTTTTTTCGTTAGTTTTATCTTGAAGAGTTACAGATCAAATTCGAATTTTTTCCGGTCTAATGATTTTGTGCCGAGTTATGATCCTTGGACTTAGAAAATTCACTCAAATAATCAATTTTCACATTTTTTTTCGTCATGCTTGAAGGAAGATATTGACTTGATATTTGTTATATAGTTTACACCATGACAAGTTATAGATCAAGTTAGCATTTTGTTCCAGTACAATGAATGTTTAACCGGGAGGGGATTATGTATTGCCAAGCAAATTGAATACTCGCAGAATTATACCTGTATAATCAGAACATTTCCAATTGTATTCTGATGGTCTGTTACAAGCTAGGTTCCCTTACTTGTCATTTAACAGTTTCTTAACTGAGACCAGATGATTTAAGATGTGATTTTTTAAAACACATTATTTCATTATTTGGTGATGTATTGTATCTTACTTATATCGTTGATATATAATAACCCATGTTTACGACTTGTTTATTTTTTGTGTATGCCTATCATTTCAATGATTCTTAAATTTACCGACCAAGGCAAGACCTGGCCTCATGGGTAGACTAGTCAAGGTAGTTAAAAATCACCTTCGTGGTCATCATACTTACATTTTGTTCATGAGGAACTCCCATAAGTCCAACCTTTTGACAAGGCTTTGGAATATCAAAGACAGTAGTGTTTTGAATACCACTGGTCATTCCCATGTAACCAACATCAACCAACACATTTGGATATGTGACGTGTTCCGATACCGGTACACAGGTGTCTTTTGTGACGGACATAGTAACAGTGGCTCCTTGAAATGAGAATGAGTACATGTCCACATCAATTTTCTTGTCATCAAATCCAATAAAGGTTGACATCACCAGTTTCGCATCAGCTGTGGAAAAATGATTTAAGTATAATAGCACATACAAAAATGGTGTACTTTGTAGTAATGTATTTATGTAGTAGGCCTGTAGGTCTTACTATGACAAATGCAATATAAACATCTTTCAATCTATGTGTACCAAACTATAGGAGCTAACTACTTCGAATAATCAAAATAAAGTATGGAATATAGCGACTACATGTATTATTTTTTTTGTGGGTGCTTTAGATTCTGCTATGTTCCACTGAGGCTAGATTTAGTCCTTTGAGATTCTAGTTATAGATCTACTGTTTCAGATCTGAAATAGGGATGTAGAAATATATCAAAGCCATAGCATTCAAGGATTTTCAAAGGGTACACATGTAACAACTGTCAAGAATCATGGGTAATGTGGTCTGTTTTCTGCGCTTTGGTCCGTTTGTTGTCTTTTTGACACATTCCCCATTTCCATTCTCAAATTTATTTGTTGAAGATAAGGTGCAGCCGCAACAAGTTAAATGAATTTAAGTAGGACATAAATATGGAGACTCGGAGTAGCTTACTCTTCAAACATTTTAAACCCTGGATGGTTTGTCATTGATTGCACAAGTGATATGGTACCACGGTGAAAGCGTGTTTCATATATAAAGATTCAAAACACTTACATGGAATACAGTATAGCATCTCAGTTTTTAAAGGTACAATAACGCACTTTCCATTTGTCACTGTGTACTTCTTGCCCTGTTGTAAAATATAAATTAAGATATATCTCAAAATAATATGGTTTAAAACATTAATGTTTTCCGATTATATATCATTCATCATGAAATCATCCCGTATTTCTACTAATTTTCATAAATCCAACTAAAACATATCATGATATGTTGTTTACGTCGCTTAATACGCCAAATTACTTGGCATTAGTTTATGAAATATTCTTACTTTAATAAGATAACCGAATAGACGTAACTTAACATGGATCTTAGTTATTCGAAATCTATACTTTGTGTGAAAGGACCATAAAGCACCCGTTTCATACATATTATAACTGTTATTATTGTGTTATAACATTAACTAATACAGACTAACGGTCAGGGCATAAAAATAAAAAGATGGTGTGGATTGACAATGATTGGCCATGCACTAGAGCCAAACCCACATTTTAATGTTCTCATAACAATAACTTCGCGATTTTTTTTCAATGTGTTACATGTATTTGGCTACCTCTAAGGATTCTTATGTCCATGTTTTTAAATTTTTTAAAAGCTCATTTAATCAACATTTAATATGTTTGTCTGTACCAGCAAAATTTTAGATTAACTAAATTAATACTAGTTCCTTAGCCCACACGTTTTCTAGAAAACCGTTCAAACTGCACATGTGTTCTTTGAAACATAAGAATAAAAACGACCACTACAGAAGAATCAAAATGACAAATTTTATTACAAAGCTACGATATATTTTTTACTATAGTATTTGTTACTCACCGCCGCATAATCGTCAATTTGATGAGTTTTAAATGGTATTCCATTAGTTTGTCCCTCCCCTAGAGTGGACTGTCTTTTTCCTTTCACATCATATGCAAGTCGAAATATGGCCTGCAAATTACTAGCAAGTGAATATTATAATGACCAGACGCACGTTAAGTGAACGTCAAACAACATAGCAAGTAAACTAAAACTAGACACATATAAAAATATGAAGGTGTGGTGTGATTGCCAATGAGACAACTTTCCACCAGATTCGAAATGACGTTACAGTTAGCAACCGTAGGTCACACATATACAGACGGATTTAGGGGGGGGGGGCTTTGTGGGGAAAATTTAGTTGATTATATAGGGAATCACTCAAGCATGACTGGAGCGGGTCCCCTCATAGGCAGTCAGTCACAGTGGGCCCCCACTTATGAAAATTCCTGGATCCGCCACAACACACATGTTCGGCTTTCCTCAATCTCTGTCAAACTTTGTATAGTCCTTGATGCTGTTGTCTTATCTAATCCTTTGTGCAAACTTTTCAAAACTACAGCAATAAATTGTTTTCCGTTTTAATTGCAGGTTAGTGGATTAGAAAGCTTAAGTAGAAACCATAGTAATCAAGTTTGGGTAAAACAATAGAGACGTTTACCCCAAGATGTATTTTAAGTCATTTATTTATGATAATTATGTATAATAGTTAAACATATGTGTCAGTACTGTACTAGTAACCAATTCAATATTTGGTCGATTAAATTTTGCGTATCTCATTTTTATTGACAAAAATACCTTATAATCTAGTAACTGTATATCAGAATTCTATAAGAGTTAATTTAGGTAAACCTGTACACCCCAAGAGTTATTAATAGACATTCGTCACAACTCGGCCGAGAGTAGCGGATTCGCCCAGGATTGCCGATTGATAAATATAAATAAAATGTTGACGACTTCCCATGATGATCCATGATGCAGATCATATGGGTCATTTTAAAAAAATGTCGAATTTTCGGTACACCCATGCTAATTTTTTTTATTTCTAATGGAAAATGCAGTTGTAAGTGTTTAAATGAAAGTTTGTGGGATTTATGAGTCAGAACATTAATAATAAACACGATTTAGATCTATTTTGATTAGATTATAATATATATATTTAAGTCCGATTTTTGCGTAATTTATTTGCGTACAGTGTCATAGTAACACATTTCAAATGTTTTTTTTATTTTTTCTGATCGACTTGATATCTGCAAAAAAAGACTTTTTTAGAACGTTAATAACTCTAACTAGAAATCGCAGCTTCTTTATTATTATATGTAACATTTTTTTCTACAAACTAAATTCAATCAGCGTACAAGAAGTTCATGTCCATCCTGTTACCGCTATTTAAATCAACCGTTAAATTGTTCTCCCTATCAGTGAATATTGAACTAATCAGTGTTGATTTCTAAAGCGCAAAGTAACCTAAACATTTAACACAGCACGTTTCTTGTATATCAGTGTAGAGAAAAGAAATTTTAAGACATTTAGTGAAAAAAAATGGGTACGCGTACTTTTAATTTTTTCATGTCTATGCTGTTACCAACATATTGATTAATTACACCAATAATATACTTGTAAAAAGTGCAATAACGTGTTCGAAACCAAAATCACAACAGAAAAACATTATCACTTTGTCAAAAGGAAGAGTAGTTATTTCACAACAGCATTCAAAAATGAAGAAATTTGTATCCTGTTACTATGGTTGCTATGGTTACAGTAACATGATAGACAACAGTAGACAGAAACGTCTTTACAAAGTTTATAATAACATATGTTTGAACTCATCTAAAGTTTATAACGTGTTAACTCTTAATCTTCGCAATTTAGCATTTGCAGACGCAATACTGCTATCGGTAAAAGGATAGACAAAAAGGTAACAGGAGAGAACTTAATACAGTGATATATCATTAACGTACGTTCCTGTTACCAATAAAATAAAAGTGAACCAACATGTGAGGGATATACTTGATGTTGGGTTTACTTGAAAGAGAGGAAAAAAGCTGAATATTATGAATTGCTATCTTAGACTTGCATTACTGGTGGTTATTTTTATAACCTTTTAAAACCAATGTTTAGAGGCGTTTTTCAGTACAACATGGAGATTTTGCAAATAATCTATTATTTCACAGAATGAATATATAGAGAAGTTTTTACTCTTGAAAACCATCTAATTGGCTACGAAAAACCAGCTTAAAATTTTATCGGAACCTTTTCTAAATAACCCGAATTTTCTTTTGAACATGGTAACAGGAGAGACAAAATATTGCACCACCTATCAAAAAATGTTTCAATATATTCTTGTATGACATTATCAAGATTGCATCTTTTTATATGTTGTTCTATAAGTACTGTTTGTTTTGATTTGCTTATAGCGAGGGTTGTATGAATAAGTAACTTTAAATCATTTTAAAATTCGACATTTTTTGAAAATGACCCATATAGCTAATCTAAAATGTAGACTTGGGCTGCCTTGTATTTATCGTCACACAACAGCGAAATAGTAACCATCTACTATGGAACGCCACAGCTGTCTTATGTGGAACTCTGATATTACGTTATGTTGTTCTATTATTACTTAATGATAGTTTGTCTTTACATAATATAGTTTTGACATTACGTAATGATGTTTTGATATAACTCAATATGGAATAGTCATTACTTAATGAGATGATTTCGTATTAACTTGATATAGTTTTGTCATTACTTAATATGGTTCTGTCATTACTCGATGTGGTTCCACGATTTTTTATGTGGTTATGTCATTAGGCAATGTGGTTTTAACATTACTTGATGTGTGCATAAAGCTGAGTCCACAAACGTAACGTCTTCAAATTACTTCAATCATTTACGACGTCGGCATTTTTCCCCAGAAAACAAACGCGTAACAAAAACACTGGACACTTAGTTTATCACAAAGCTTTAAACATAAACGTTCAACATATTTCTTATTTTTTAACATCAAAGTGCAGCATATGCACATTCTGGAAATATAAATAAATATATGCTAAGAGCAGTGTAATGGAAATAATAAGCGACTATGTCGTGGACCCTATTCAGAAAATAGCGTTAAAACGTCATTTCTTTAAATTGTTACATAATAGCTGGACATAAAAAAAATTCAGGTGTTCAGCCTGGACTATCGAATCATTCATATTTTGCAGATTTTTTTTAAACCTCTTGTTATGCACATTTGGAACATAAAGTTAAAGGGAAATGTGTGTGTGTGTGTGTGTGTGGGGGGGGGGGGGGGGGGGGGGGGGGGGGGGGTGCTAAGCAACAAAGCATCAATTCTATAAAATAAGAACTCTCCAGCTTTTTTTAGCGTGTATGTTCATTTGAACATATGAATATTAAACTTTTTTTTTATTAATTGCAGTTTCTGATTTACCACGCACTAATTGAAAAAAAAAACTTTTTGAAATATCTGTTTCAAAGGTGACGACGAATAGGTTCCAGTTGTCGTAACCACAATCCCGTCATCTTTTACTCGAATGTAAACTACCAAAAAAAAAATCACTGGGTTTGTACTTTCACGAATAACTCGACGGGTGCCACAAGTTAAGCAGAATCCGCTTACCCTTCCAAAGCATCCGAGATCCAACTGATAGATTTATGTTATCAAGTCATACTGATCTATTTAGTTGAGCCAATCAAAACTGTCTTTACATTTTCTTCTTATGCTGTGCTATGATACACTCGGTTATGATAGGGATTAGCGCTTACATACATGTTAAACTCCGCCGCGTGCACTTTCTTTAAATGCCTGCCCCAAGTTAGGAACCTGTAGTTCAATGGTTGTCGTTGTTTCATGTGTGTCATATTTGTTTTTATACGCCCGTCAAAATTTTGACGGGACGTATTATGGTATACAAATGTCGTCTGTCCGTCTGTCTGTCCGATGTAAACATGTCGCACCGTAACTTGAGAACGACTTATCCAAATTTCATGAAACTTAACATAGTTGTAACACTTTCTAATGATGGTCAAACGATCTGTATACTTTTTGGTGAAAATAAGATTAAAAATTTTTGAGTTATGGGACTTAGTAACTAAAACAGGTGTGTGTATTTTTTTCACATGTCGTGCGGTATCTCAAAAACAATTTATGATTATTGCTTAAAACTTTACACACTTCTTAGTTATATTAATCTTAAGATCTGTATACTTTTTGGTGATGATTCAAAATTTTATTTTTGAGTTATTGAGTATTTTGTAAAAAAAGGGGGAGTCAAATACGATTTATGATTATTGCTTAAAATTTTATACACTTCTTAGTTATATTAATCTAAAGATCTGTATACTTTTTGGTTTTGATTCAAAATTGTAGAGATATTGATTTTTTTTTAAAAAGGGGGTTGGGGGGGGGGGGGGGGGGGTCGCATGTCGAACCGTATGTCAGAAACTATTTATGATTATTGCATGAACAAATTTTTTGTTACATAACCACATCAAAGAATGACATGACCACATCAAATACTGAAACAAACACATCATGTAGTGTAAAATCGTCAAATTTTGAAACATCATTACGTAATGTTAAAGCCATATAAATAATCGGCAAATCATCATTACGAAATAACAAAACCACATCATGTAATGAAACAACTACATCACGTCAAGTCACATACACATCATTTAATGTTAAAACCACATTGCCTAATGACACAACCACATTAAATAATGGTGAAACTACATCGAGTAATGAAGGGAAGCAATCCCGTCACACTTCCCCCACCTCAAGAGTCATCATAGTTACCATTATGACTCTCACACACATACCCTAGCTAGAAATCCTCTCTAACTACCATGGGTTTTTATTGTTGGGCGACAATGTAACCGGAGAGCATGATTCTACTTGCAAAATCGTAGGTCTCCGCCGGGACTCGAACCCGGGACCTCTGTGTTACAAGGCAGCGCGTATACCGACTGAGCTAAGGAAGTACTTCTTTAGCTCAGTCGGTTAACGCGATGCCTTGTAACACAGAGGTCCCGGGTTCGAGTCCCGGTGGAGACATGCGATTTTGCAAGTAGAATCATGCTCTCCGGTTACAGACAAAACCATACTAAGTAATGACAAAACTATATCAAGTCAATACGAATCCATATCATGTAATATCGATAAAAACATCATTGCGTAATGTCAAAATCATATTATGTAAAGACAAACTATCATCAAGTAATAACAGAACAAATTAACATAACGTAATATCAGAGTTCCACATAAGACAGCTGTGGCGTTCCATAATCTTCGATCATCTACATTTTGTTCATACCAATGCGTTCAAGATTAAATTTGGTCTCTAATTGCCCTTATTGTTTTAATTTTATGCGCGAGAGCCTGGGATTTTCTAAAGAAACTGTTATATCTTTACTGATAATTGTATAAATACAAAGTTGCTAAAGAAATTTTATTTTATAGAAGAATTTTAAATGCCAAAAAAAGGGGGGCTATGCCTTAACTACCTGTGTTTAAGGAACGTACCTCTGTTAGGAAACCCTTGTCTTTTACTTGGTATCCGCTTGAGAAGCCTAATGTCCCTTCCATTTGCGGTAAACAACATGTTGATGTCTCTGCTGGAGTTGTTGTGAAAACAAGCAAACCTAGGAGTACACTCCACATGTTAACTTCCATCTTGTGTATTGCCAGATTTACGAATCGACCCGGTATATTTTCTTCCTCGCTCTATATTTAGAAATACCGGTAAATGTCTTATGATTAGTCACATGGTGTAAGTTCCAGGTGAGTAATAATATTCAATACATATATGCATGATCATCCTATTTTTTCAACCGTTAGCATTTTGTACTGCATACTAATGCTACTTCTTTTGTAAATTGAAATTATATTAACTTTATGAGGAATTGGATGGAGGTTACAAAATAGAACATAACTGCCCCCCCCCCCCCCCCCCCCCCCCCACAAAAAAAAAAAAAAAAAAAAAAACAATGAATAGAGAAAACTGAGAATACAAAAATAAAGTATAGAGAATAATTGGGTGGAACAGCATAAACAATAACTGGATAATAAAAGAATTGATTATACAGTACTGTTAAAGAAATGAACGGTGTACAAAATAAAGTAATTCCATAATTAAGGATAAATTTAAAAGCAAAAAATTATTTATCTGAGAATTTTACAGAATATGCGTTATTTTCGCAGATACTGTTTGTAAATGCGAAAATATCTCCAACAAATTAAATGAAGACCCTCCTATACGGATATTCCCAATAACATTATATTTGACTTTTTCACTTATGTTCATCTTTGTGTTTTCTTATGATCCTCGTAAAAAGAAGTATTATTCAGAATAAATGTCTTGTGTTATTGTATAGTGATTTGATATTTGTAACCGCTATGTTGAGGCTGACTGGGTTGAAAATTCCCAATTCCATTTTTTGTCAGTTTTGGGTATTTAATGCGATGTTTGTTGGAAAGACAAAGAGTCTGAATGTTTTACTAATTTTTTGTGCTTTTTGTTAAACTTTAGGTTTACAGTAGTAAAATGATTAAAAAAAACTATTTTATGGTTTTCATTATCTCTGCAAACGAAGAGAAAAATATATCTTGCTACCTAATCATTATATTCGAGTGAATTTTCATTATTGTATTTAAATAGTGAAGCAATTTAATTTCAAGCAAATTCATTTGACTTATGTAGAATATAAATGTCTGATATCGATTCCAAAGTGCTTCGGACACCATTTTCTCTGAAGACCTATAATAAGGGTAGTCAAAGTCACAATCGGGGCCTCGGTGAAGGTTGGTCTAAGTAGGCGAACCATTGTATCACTAGCCTGTCAACACTGACGTTGTGAGTGGGAATCCGTCATGTAGCAGGTACGTTCGATTCCAGCCTTAATTGACTATAATTGTCAGTTTTCCTACTGAAGGTCCAGTGGCGGATCCACAGACCACCGGAACCCCCTTTTTTGACGATAAATGCTTTTGATTGGGGACATATGGTTGGACCCCCTCTTAATCCTGGGTTGGAACCCCCTTTAAAAATGGCTGGATCCGCCCCTGAGGTCGGTGATTCTCTGAGAGCATCCCGGCTTCCTCCACTGATACAAAGTTACCGCCACGAAATAGCGCAGTAGTGGTGAAAGTGCCTCAGAGGAGATTTGTACAGACGTGTGATTTTCTAATTCCCCCATGGTATCTTCTTTTTCTTTTTTTATACTCTCGACGTTCCCGATCCGGTTCTTTTTTAACACTTGCGACGTTCCTGATCCCGTTCTTTTTTTTTACACTCTCGACGTTCCCGATTCCGTTCCTTTTTTACACTCTCGACGTTCCAGATCCCGTTCTTTTTTCTTTTACACTCTCGACGTTCCCTGCTCTTTTTTGGAGATCATTCGATTATCTCAGTTTTTATTTATACATAGATTATACATAGAATATACATAGGGTAACAACCCACGAAAAAAATAATTAAATCACTGTAATATATTTAATTTTTTTCTGTTCACCAATGTAGCGTTATATTACTGAAACGTTTTTTTCTTGGGAATGTCAAAGCATCTCATGATATTTTTTACTTGCATGCTCGTGTTGCTCGCGAACTGTCTGTAGTTTTCTTTTGTATTTAATATTTTGTTATTGTTGATTGTTTTTTCGTCCTTAAAGGGGCATTAGCTACGAGATATGAAAAAAAAATAGAATATGATTTTGTTTGTTTCAATCATTAATAAAAGTAAAATAATGTAAATAATAATTCGCTTTTAGCAGCCAATTTGGTTCAATTTTGTCAAATTAAGCAAAGAAACATCGGTGATGAATTATTCACTTGCAAGTAATTTGGATATAATTTTAGTAAGTTATTATAAATCAAATATGAAAATTTGAGTCACATCGGTGAACATGAATTTGACAGCTAATGCCCCTTTAATTTCTGGTCATGTTATTAATTAGACTTGTGATTCCCCTCTGGTATCTTCTTTTTCTTTCCTTTTTTTACACTTCCGACGTTCCCGATCTCGCTCGTTTTTGGATTCTTTCCTTTTTTACACTTCCGACGTTCCCGATCTCGCTCGTTTTGGATTCTTTCCTTTTTTACACTTCCGACGTTCCCGATCACACTCGTTTTTGGATTCTTTCCTTATTTACACTTCCGACGTTCCCGACCTCGTTCGTTTTGGATTCTTTCCTTTTTTACACTTCCGACGTTCCCGATCTCGCTCGTTTTGGTTTCTTTCATTTTTACACTTCCGACTTTTCCGATCTCGCTCGTTTTTGGATTCTTTCCTTTTTTACACTTCCGACGTTCCCGATCTCGCTCGTTTTGGTTTCTTTCCTTTTGTACACTTCCGACGTTCCCGATCTCGCTCGTTTTGGATTCTTTCCTATTTTACACTCCCGACGTTTCCGATCTCGCTCGTTTTGGATTCTTTCATTTTTTTTTATTAATTATACATTGGTTTGTCTTTTTAATCAATTTAGAGATTTAAATAGCGTTGTTAAACAACTGTTGCTTTAGTATATATAAAATACCGTTTCGATCACTAACATCACTGAAGAGACATTAAGTGTCGAAATCCGGATATGGTGTACAAATTTTTGCACCTCATGTTTGTGGTATACCATCTTTTCCACAAGTTTATTGTTTTCTGTTTGGTATTAAATTAATATTAAGATCCATTTTGTTAGATCTGGTGATCAATTTATTTGGCAATCGCCAATGGCAGTCAGCAGGGTTTAAGAACATCAGTTGTTCGACCTGTTAGTCAAATGCGTTTTGTTAAAATAGACTTTTTCACTTTTTTTGGTCTTTTGGAAATTGTTGTTTGTGCTGTATTTAGACCCCTCTACCAAGAAATTTGTTTTACATGCACACGTATAAAAATTGCGGTTTTTATCCAACGCAATCATAGGTTTGAACGTTGTTTTCAATTTAGACTTTTATATATATATAATTGTAACCCGAATAATTCAGTCCTTATATTCAGCCGCTAATCTACAATTACTTCATAAACCCACGATAAAGGGGAGGGCCTAAATTATTCGGGTTAGGTTAATTGATTTATTCAGCATAAAAATCGTTGTAGCATTTTGGATATATCTGTTTTATTTGTACCTTTAATAATTTTTAGTTGAACCAAAATTTTACGGTATGATGATGATGATAAAAATAATCATAATGAAACTATACTGTCAAGTGAATGTCATAACACATATTTACGTATATCGTTACAGGTTTTGACATTTAGTGATTTGATCATTAACCAAATATTTGACATTTTGAATTCAATGTTAATATAACGTAATTCATAGTGTTGAAACGATAAAAAGCTTTAATTGCACTATTTAAACATAATGTACGCACTCTTTCTTCGACCAAGTAATTGTATAACAGCCCTCAATCATGCACTTAAAGTGCTAGCTCCTTTAACATGTTTACCCAAGTCGTGAGAACGCTAGCTTACTATTCTGGCGGTCTTGAGTTCAATCGTCTTAATGATAGCAGGCGAACATGCCCTACTACTGTTACGTTGGGCGCCCGACTGAAAAACTAACATTGAATAAAGGAGTTGTGCTATATATTAAAATGGTGGAAATAGTAATTATAATATCAAATGTCTATTGAGGCGAGGCAGCGTCGTGGTGCATCCTCATACCTTGTAGATTCTAAATAGCCATACGATAGCTGTTCATATGAAGATCTTCTTTAACTCAGCTGTTAGAGAGGTCACATACTGTGTTAGTGGTCCTGTATGGAATTTCTGTTTTGTAAAGATGTAGAAAGTGCATGGCGCTGATTATATATTTTTATTTGATTGAGTTAAGCCATTTCAATTGATGTTTTATAGTGTGTCTTTCTATGTTGCAATGTTACACTACTACTTCAGGTTAGGGTGAAGATATTAGCGCCTGTTAAAAAAAGTAAACCTAAATCCGCTGCATTCGTTTCATCTGTCCTAAGTCAGGAATCTGATGTTAAGTGGTTGTCGTTTGTTAATTGATGTGGTTTATAAGTGTTTCTCGTTTCTCGTTTTTTATATAGATTAGACTGCTATTTTTCCTGTTTAAATTGTTTTACACTAGTTATTTGGGGCCTTTTATAGCTGGCTGTTCGGTGAGAGCCAAGGCTCCGTGTTGAAGACCATACTTTGACCTATAATGGTTTACTTTTTACACATTGTGACTTGGATGGAGAGTTGTCTCTTTGGCACTCATACCACATCTTCTTATTTCTATTGGTTTAAATTCCTCTAAAAAGTTAATCAATTTGACTTGTATCTCACTTCGTTACCTCTGAATATTAATTGCGTACATTGTGTACACTTAGGTGAATCTTATTTTTTGGTTGTTGTTTAACGCCTACAAGTCTCCGAACCGAACAGATAGAGATACATTTATATAACATTGACGTAGTTAATAAATAACTATGTTCCTGAACCAATTTCCTGTTTAATACAGCTTTTTATTTTTCTAGGATAACTGCTAAATGACAATTGGACGTAATTGCGTTTACATCAAGTTTTAAATACTATTGTTTTATTACATTAAAAATAACTCATTGAAATACACTAAAGTAGTGTGCAGATAAAACGTAAATGATTGTTTATTTTAATTGTACATGGTTAAAGTGTTCATAATTTGTAGACTTGAAAAGGAAAAAAGTATTGAATTGGTCCATTTGATTTCAGAGAAGTTATATACAATGTTGAATAAGCAAGCTTCGTCGTTCTTTGCCATCAGATGGGAACGAATGGCGACTGTCGTATTTCCTGAAAAAGAAAATAAACTGACAGTTCTGGTGAATCATTATCAACGTATATACAACACACATATATGTATGCCTTTGATTTTTAAATAGTATGCATTTGATATAACTTTCAAAAAGAAGAAAACTTATAGTATCAGCATTCAGCTTTTATTTGCAATGGCTGCCAATCGCTTTGGGTGCGTAAGTCTAAAGAAACACATTATATGTTACATAAGGACAGCACAAGATTACATTTAAACTTGTACTTTTGTTTAACATCTACCTGCGAGTAAATGACAAATACTAGTAAGAACATGGTTTTAATGCATTTTTTTTTTATATTGCCTTTGTAAAAGAAAGGCGGATAATCAAACTTACAAGTCGAAAATGAACTGACAACGTCAAAGCCAAACACGAAAAACGATCAAAAGATAAACAGACCACAAAACACAACAAGACAAGACCTGACCAACACAAGGTGCTCCGGAAGGGTAAACATATCCTGCTTTCCATGTTGCACATGTGTAATTGGTTCTACTTGTTCCATTATATTGTATAAATCTAACAGAAATCAGCTATCTCCAAATATTTACTTGATAGATTTATCGTATTATATTTGTATCTGTGGGTTTTTTTTTTCATGTTATTATTATGTTCCTCATACAGTCTTTTCAAAACTATCTGAAAAGTTTGGTGTTCTCACTGGTTGAATATGGTACTGGTATCGGGTTATAAAATCTTTCTTTTATTAATGCCATACATAATTATAGAGCTACAGTCTCTTATAATTCTGTACAAAATGGTTCTCTGAACGATACCCATATGTTCCACTTGATGTAATGTTGTATTATATATTATTGAGAAATGAGACTTAGATGAAGTATTGAGTTGAATTGAATTGTTAACATGAAGTTTAATGATCTGGTATATGTTGAACTTTATGAGGGATTTATTAAATAAGATTGGATGCTTAGAAGGATGCTGGTGTTATACATACTCTCTTTCTCATCGACCCCTCCTTACAAGGGGAAGGCAACTCGAACACGGAGGGGTCTGTTATGCCACTTGTAAGTCCCATGAAACCAATATTGAAGACGCCATCGTTTATTTGGAAACTTTCTGATACTGGTGCGCATCCTTTCGTAGTCAATGACATGGTAAAATGTCCTGCATCAAATGGAATATAGTACGTGTCAACTTTGAGCGTGTCATCTCCTAAACCATGATAGCTCGACATTACCTTTGAGCTAGCTGTAAAATGAAGAGATATAATGTATGTTACCATTAATGTACAAAGAAATCATGATTAAGTATTTATATATAGAAAGAGACATGATGTATATGCGGGTCTAGATGGGGTTTCCTGATACAGAATAAAGGGGAAAAGTGCAAAATAAATGGGTAGAATATAAAGAATAGAGAAAACATGCCAATAATATAAGGAATAGGAAATACTTCGGTGCTAACATATATAGAATAGAGAATAACGCACAAAATTTGTGTAGAATAGAGGAAAATAGCTAAAAAGTAAAGAATTCAGAATTGAAGGACCCGCTTAATTCAATTTATGACCCTTGTTTATATACCATTAAAATATAAAGATACCATGATTAATTAATTATGTATAAGAAGACACCAGTAGTTTACCGATGTTCAAAGAAGACAAATCAAAGTAACAAACAAAGACTGATGATCTATAAAATAAACGTTACCAGGTGCATCGACATGGTAAGTGTATCCTGCTATGCATGCTTCACCCTCCATGCGAATCCACACTTAGTCAAAATGTCCCAATCGAGAATCGGACACAATATGTTTTCAGATTTGACGACTCTATCTAAAGTCCTACATGTAACACTGCTTTAATTCTTCGACGGTAAGAAAATCAACAAAATCGTTACAGTGTAGATGTGACTACTAAATGTAGTGATTCGTTAATCATGTTATGAAGAACTTACATGGCAAACAAATCATTCCTCCTTCGGTCGAAAAATCAAATGGGAAGGGTTTTATGGTGCAGTTTCCCATAGCAGCTTCATACTGTACTTGCTGAAACGGAAGAGAAAGGATGTTGTTAGGTGAACCAGTTTATAGCACAAATTCTCTACTTATTCTTTGGTAAACAATTCCAAAAACAACGAGACAAAGCTCAAATTTCTGTTTCTCAGTTCGAAGAAACGTTGAGACCTTTCAATCAAAACAAGGACTAACACATCACTGTGAGTTAAAGAAGACATTTTGGGAAACTGTACGGTTTCCTATATTTGCTTTCTTCCACTTCATCTGAACTTTGGTGGATAGTTGTCTCATTTGCATTCATACCACATCTACTTATTTTTATATAAGCACCTTTTTCAGAGAACTATTTGCTACATGTTCGGAGTCCATAACATAATTAATAAGTTAAACATTTTGACAATCACTGGGCATATCATTATATCTCTTAGATACATCGGCATGACAATCACTGGGCATATCATTATATCTCTCAGATACATCGGCATGGCAAGATGTATGGATAAAAGAACAGAGTTCCAATGTCCCCCGCGTTGCACATATTTTATCTATCCAAGGTACAAGAGCAATAACTAAATAAAACACTGTTTTGTAGCGCTCACTAGGCCATTTTTCCATAAATTTAATATTTTTAAGGGGCATAACTAAAAAAAAGTCGATCGTCCACCATTAAAAACTCTTCCGAGATATTGCTTATATTAAACTATAGTATAAGTTTGATAAAAATCTGGCAAGAATTGTACCCGTGAGAGCGCTAACGAGGCCATTTTTCATAAATTTAATATTTCCAAGGGGCATATCTCTTTTAAAAAAGTCAATCGGTCACCATTTGAGAACGTGTCCGAGATATTGGTGATATTAACCTATAGTATAAGTTTTATAAAAATCTGGCAAGAATTGTACCCGTGAGAGCGCTAACGAGGTCATTTTCCATAATTTTAATATTTCCAAGGGCATAACTCTTTTAAAAAAGTCGATCGGCCACCATGATAAAACTTGTTTGAGATATTGCTGATATTAACCTACAGTATAAGTTTCATAAAAATCTGGCAAGAATTGTACACGTGAGAGCTCTAACGAGGCCATTTTCCATAAATTTAATATTTCCAAGGGGCATAACTCTTTTTAAAAAAGTCGATCGGCCACCATTATAGAACTTGTCCGAAATATTGCTGATATTATCCTATAGTAAAAGTTTTATAAAAACCTGGAAAGAATTGTACCAGTGAGAGCGCTAACGAGGCCATTTTCCATAAATTTAATATTTCCAAGGGGCATTTCTCTTTTAAAAAGAGTCGATCGGCCACCATTATAGAACTTATCCGAGATAGTGCAATGACCATGTATTTAGTTTATAAATTAAGATTCAACTCCATTTTTAAGTTCCCTTTGGACATACATCACAGAACTTTTCTACATATTTGTACAACCAAGGCTTCCAAATGCTTAGGATTGAGGGTTCCTTAAGAAGGAAAATCCAGAAAAAAGCACTTCGAACGCGCGAAATTTATGAATAGCTGTTTCCTTTCATAACCTTCTGTTCATGATTGATTCATTATCTTACAATTGATATGTGATCGATCGATGGTTCACTGATTTGTTGAATTTATAATTGAAATTTTCCATAAATTTAATATTTAAATAAAAAGACCACTACTCCGATAATCCACTCGTAAATTGCAAAATTCGCAACAAGTGTTTTAAATGAACCCAAATGTTAAAAAAAGCAAAAAACTGCATACAAAAATATCAGGTTCTCCTAGACTTACAATATTGAAATCCTGAACAATTTCTTGGTGAATTGCATGACCCCCAACGTAGACTGTTCCAGAAAAGTAACCTTTTCCTCTAGCAGTATCCATTGCCCATTTGTCATACACAGCCTAAAAATACAAAGGATATAAATAATTTATATATAGTCAGAACATATTTTTTCGTACGTCATATGAATTCGTACTATGCATGCTTTTTCAATGGAAATTATGACGTCACAAAGCCATCGTAATAGCACGAAAACCCATAATACGAGGAAATTATACAATTATAGCCTTTGTATGAGGTCGATATAACATCGTATTGACCTCAACCAAAGGCTACAATGATTGTTATATTATTAATCAACAACTATTCCAAGAACAATGTAAAATTGGGGATTTCTAGAATGTATTTTATTAATTAAAGTCATATGAAACGAGTGACTGGTGAAAAATAATGTTAATCCAATTCTTGAACCAATGCATGCATATATCATAAACTTAGTCTTCTGTGCACGATTTTGTTTATTTATATTTTTTTACGCATCCACACCGTATAATCGTCAAAAAAATATTTCACTCGGTCAGTGTTGTGAAAATATGTTAGCTAATTAATGGTCGTGTTTTGAAGCCGAAGTTTACCGATTGTCACCTTTGTAAACAATCAACAAAGTTACATCCCAGCTCCTTTGTGCTACCAGTGGTGATCACCCTAGCTTGAGTTTCTTTGTTCTGCATGCTTTCCTTTGTTCTGTAACATTTTGGCGGGAATGTCAAATTTATACTAAAACTTAGAAATATTTATACGGAAGAGACTAAATATCAAAATTTATGTTGAAAATTTCAGTGTCTATGCTGGGAATCGAACTCAAGACCTTTAGCATATAGACACACAAGTTATACCCCTACACCAGCACGTGTGGATGCAAATCAATGTTAATTTAACATATTTAAACATTGTGTCCGGGGCTCATAAAGGTATATACAATATAGTAATATATAAAGTATATAGTAATGATTGTGTGGCGTTCTAAACTAGATTTTATGGAGCGTAAATGGTTTTTTTATCTAATCTAGAACAGCTGGGATGTAAAATAGTTATCCCATTCGGACTTGGTGTGTCAGTGTTAGATCACCCTCTGGCCTCCGGCCATCGGGATGATCTTACACTAACACACCGCGTCCTTATGGGATAACTAATACAAGCATGGATATTGAAGTGAGCACGTGTATAACATGTACAATAAGATATAATAGTTTATTTCGATGAGGGAGCGATGTTTACGCTTGCTGACTCTCTCTCTGCTAATTTGGTTTTCCCCTTTCGTGTTGCTATCACCGGATTTTTACGAGAAAGGTCACGCTGAGGAAACTGCATACGGGAAACATGTCGGCGAATTATTGTGTGGGAAGCCAGTAATTAAAAAAAGTAAATTTCTTCTAAATTTGGACAAATTAAAGAATTTTGTTCAGAAAAAGTATATGTACAAAAGTTTTATAATAAAAACTAGCCATTTAGTCCAAAAAAAACAACATTTATATGCATCATTTTGTTTTAATTTGAAGTTTCATATGACTTTAACATGCAGTATGCCTTGTGCAATATGCTGTTTTTGACCAACGAAAAGCTAAACATAACAGTATTGGCGTGCAAACTGAGTAAACACAAATGCACATGTGATAAAGTTTTAACGAATCACAAATCTTTAAAAATATGCAATTAACAATATATGTTAATATCAGATCTACAACATCTGTATTCGGCATTTTTTTAAATTTCAAATAGAAACAAAAAATATTTCCGTACTTCATGTATATCTTACAACAAAATTATTTTTATTTACCTGTGTATATTATTTTATTTGGCGGCATTTTGTCCAAGGTTATGGTTATCTTTCTGATATTGTTTTTCATCTCAACCCTTTATTTAGCTAACCGAGGCCCGAAGGGCCCCATGTGAGATTATGCCATCACTTGGCTTCCGTCGTCGTCCGTCGTCCGTTGTCGTCGTCGTCTGTCGTCGTCTCTGTCGTCGTAAACTATTTCAAAAATCTTCTCCTCTGAAACTAATGGGCCAAATACCTTCAAACGTTAACTGAATGTTCCTTATGGTATCTAGTTTTTAAAAGTTATCCGAAGTTTTGATCGATCAACAAACATGGCCGCCATGGCTAAAAATAGAACATAGGGGTCAAATGCAGTTTTTGGCTTATATCTCAAAAACTTAAGCTTTTAGAGCAAATCTGACATGGGTAAAAAAATTTCATCAGGTCAGATCTATCTGCCCTGAAATTTTCAGAGGCATCAGACAACCCCTTTTTGGGTTGCTGCTACTAAATTGGTAATTTTAAGGAAATTCTGCAGTTTTTTGTTATTATCTTGAATATTATTATAGATATAGATAAACTGTAAACAGCAATAATGTTAAGCAAAGTAAGATCTACAAAAAAGTTAACATGACCAAAATTGTCAATTGACCCCTTATGAAGTTATTGCCCTTTAAAGACAATTTTACACAATTTGTTCTTCATGTTTGCTAACATTTAAAAATCTTCTTCTCTGAAACTACTGTGCCTAATACTTCTAAACTTTAAATGAATGTTCCTTTAGGAATCTTAATTTATGAATTATATCCGAATTTTTGATCCATCAACAAACATGGCCGCCATGGATGAAAATAGAACATAGGGGTCAAATGCAGTTTTTGGCTTATATCTCATAAACTAAAGCATTTAGAGCAAATCTGACCATATTCATCAGGTCAAGATCTATCTGCCCTGAAATTTTCAGACGCATCAGACAACCTCTTGTGGGTTGCTGCCACTAAATTAGTAATTTTAAGGAAACTATGCAGTTTTTTTGTTATTATCTTGAATATTATTATAGATATAGATAAACTGTAAACAACAATAATGTTCAGCAAAGTAAAATCTACAAAAAAGTTAACATGACCTTAATTGTCAATTGACCCCTTAAGGAGTTATTGCCTTTTAAAGACAATTTTACACAATTTGTTCTTCATGTTTGCTAACATTTGAAAATCTTCTACTTTGAAACTACTGTGCCTAATACTTCTAAAGTTTAAATGAATGTTCCTTTAGGAATCTAGTTTATGACTTATATCCGAATTTTTGATCCGTCAACAAACATGGCCGCCATGGCTAACAAATAGAACATAGGGGTCAAATGCAGTTTTTGACTTGTATCTCATAAACTAAAGCATTTAGAGCAAATCTGACATGGGTTAAAATGTTCATCAGGTCAAGATCTATCTGCCCTGAAATTTTCAGACGCATCAGACAACCTGTTGTTGGGTTGCTGCCCCTGAATTGGTAATTTTAAGGAATTTTGCACTTTTTGGTTATTATCTTAAATATTAAAAAAGATAGAGATAAACTGTAAACAGCAAAATTGTTCAGCAAAGAAAGATCTACAAATAAGTCTTTATTTCAGCGATTTGATCAATATGTTATTTAAAAACATGATAAGTGCACGGTATCCAATTTCAGTGAACGACATCTTGGTGTAAATATTTATAAAGTTGACCCGTTTTTAAAAATCCAGACTTCTAACATAAAATATGTAAGTTCCAAAGTTCAAATTTTGAAATAAACACTTACCGTAATAGCCAGAGGATTGCCATTATTGTTCAGACCAATTGACATCCCAACCGTTCCCTCTAACTGTTGTGGCACACAGCACGAATACGCTTGGCCAACAAGTGTAGCAAGACTCAATACAAGAACGTATATCTCCATAATGACTGTAGAGTATACTGTAGTTAGACCAAAAACGATAACCGTTTTTATATCAAAACTAAAATGTAGTTATAAATTCTCTTAATTCTAGTGGTTAAACATTTTAACGAATAACGGACATTTCAAATTATTTACAAGTATTTACTTTTAAGTTGGGTAATTTTATTTAATTATAGAATTATAGTAATTACGAACTTCAATATATGAGTGGAGCAACGATCTCTCAAAACAACAAATACATGTAGTTCAGTTGCTAGTAATATCTTGTAAACTACCTATGTGTTATTTTTTCAAATTGTGGTTCATTCATGAGTTTTGGATTTTAGTGTGACGTCCATTTTCTGTGAACTAGTTCCCCCTTTTGTTTAGAGGCCACATGAAGACCGCCTCCGGATGCGGAATTTTCTTGCTGTGCTCTTTGTTTGGGTTGTTGTCTCTTTGACACATTCCCCGTTTCCATTCTCACTTTTACTAAGTATGCAGTAGTTGTTTTCTCTTGTATCTTATGTGTATTGGTATTTAAAGTACACCGTAAGGCCTACATTTAACGATTAACAATTGTCAAACTTGAAATAATACAGAAATAAGATGCGGTATGATCCACAATGATGAAGCTATCCACCCGATACCTAGGACGTCCATGAAAGAAACGATAGATTATCGTACGGCCTTCAACAATGAACAAGCCCTATACCGTATAGTCAGCTATAAAAGGCCCCGACATCGCAAAATGTGAAATAAAAGAAAAATAAAACGGCATGATTTATGACAAAACAATGCCGTGTCCTAGCCCCGATTCTGATTCAATTTAAGGGTAAGCCCTGTCTGTGTAGATAATACCCAACAACATATCCAAACAAAAATGCAAAACAATGAATTTAATTCATAATTGAGCCTTAAACGTACCTAAAATTTCAAACAACAACGCATCATACCTACCTTAAACAGAAAAAAAATACGTGTAAGACTTACAAAATTTGATGCATGAAAACGGAATAAGGCAATAGAAAAGTAGTTCACCTACTTCTTGCAACATTAGTAATTACTATAATGCACTTGACTTTGGACATTTGGAAAATAAACATTACTAATCAAATCCACATGACCGCGATTTGCGCATGTTTTAAACAGGTCGGGAACACTACCGTATATGGATGTGCATAAATTAGCATACTTATGTGGTTATCTGGTCTCATCCTGGCTTGCCCACTTTTACTTCCATGCATATGTAAACATAGGGGGAAATGTTATTTTAACAATTATAGTTTATTTCTGAATTAGAGTCATATTTTTTACCTTTTATTCTACCTGTAAAACTTATAAAAAAAGTACTACATTCTGCTATTTAAAACAAGACAAATGTGCAAAAATATTTTATATTTGATATATTTTTAGCCGGAAGATATATTGATTTTGACAAAGTATAAAAAATAGACAAAAATGTGTACACAAATGTTTATTATTTTAAAAATTATCAACAAATAGTTTTAATTGTTCTGAAAAAAAAGTAAAAAATAAAATAATGAAACTAAAGATTAGAATAAATGCCATTTAAATTACTTTTTATTTATAATTCATCATTTTTTTTTATTGTAATAAATACACTGTTCTGAAAATTAATATAAAAAAATACCCAATTAATTCTAACGAATATAAATGCAACTGTTTAGTAGCTAAGCTTTACAAATGACGCAACTACCAACATATTACTCCTGCAAGACATCACTCTACCACCAAAGGTCACTCAACAGACCCCTCCTACACAAGACAACTAGTGACATTGACCTGCAGGATGAATGGTGCCTTACTGCTACAAGACAACAGTTCCTTTTCACGTCGGACAACATCTACCCACCTATGCTGATCTTCTCAACAACAAACAAATTGACACACCTTGCTGCTGCCAACACGATCTTCTACGACGGCACATTCTACTCATGTTCAACTCTCTTCCATCGGATGTACACAGTTCATGTAGATGTTCCCACTAGCTCTACTACAGGGAAAAGACCAGGTCATCTATTCACGCTTCTTCAGCCACATATGTTACATCGCTCAACTACATCAGATACAACTTCAACATGAAACAGTATTTATTGATTACGAGACAGCAACCAATAACGCAGCACGGACAGTGTTCCCAGTGGTAACCGTGAGTGGCCGCTTCTTCCACTTTACCCAGTGTATTTAGCGAATGGCACAGACATGATGACTACAGTAGTAGTATGAAGAAAATGAAGACATCACTTGACTTATATGACGAGCCGCGGTATTACTCTTTTTCCACCCCACCTTGTTGTTGATGTTTGGGTTACAACTTTAGAAAACATTGGCAAAGCTGACAACACATGATACCCGGCCGCTACAACGTCATTTATCGATTACGTGACAAGAGTTCTGGGTTGAAGGATACCGCTTTCTAGGCCGAACCACCTCTACACAGAAGGACCTCGTGCCACCAATCACCAGGAAGGATGGCACAAGAAAATAAAGAAGAGACATCAACCAGGCACTAACAGATTGTAATATTATCCAGTATGCAGCAGGAGGAGCCCGCCAACCAAAAAGGACGACGATACTGAGTAATAGACTACAGACTCCAACTATTGAAAGGCACATACCAACTAGGACTCATCAGCGTAATAGACTACTCTGACGCAGCATCCCATCATTTCCATTTGAACTGAACAACTTAGTAAAATATTGTTATTTGTGACTTTGTGAATATAACGTTTTGTGACTTTTGAAATATATATAATAAACTTATCATAGATACCAGGATTAAAATTTTGTATTTGCACCAGACGCGCGTTTCGTCTACAAAAGACTCATCAGTGACGCTCGAATAAAAAAATGTTAAAAATGCCAAATGAAGTACGAAGTTTAGGATCATTGAGGACGAAAAATTCCTAAAAGTTTTTCAAAAGATTGTATTCCCATCTTTTACATATGGTGATCCATATTAATTATTTTACCATTGTGCTTTATTTTTTTCCTTGTATATATAAACTTGATTCATATATTATATAAAATAGGTTTGCATTAAAAGAAAACTTGTATTTGTGTATTTATATCATAAAAATAAATTCCGAAACTAATGAATTTTTAAGACACTTTTATAAATGAATGTCATTGTGTTGTCATTCGTTGTACATGTATAATAAATGAATCGATTAAATTGATAGTAAATTATTGAGAGAAAAACATATTTGATTTATTTATTATTGTTCTATACAAATGAAAATGAAACTACTTTGACATCAGATGGGAACGAATGGCGACTGTCGTATTTCCTGAAAAAGAAAATAAACTGACAGTTCTGGTGAATCATTATCAACGTATATACAACACACATACATATGCCTTTGGATTTTAAATAGTATGCATTTGATATAACTTTCAAAAAGAAGAAAAACTTATAGTATCAGCATTCAGCTTTTATTTGCAATGGCTGCCAATCGCTTTGGGTGCGTAAGTCTAAAGAAACACATTATATGTTACATAAGGACAGCACAAGATTACAAGAAAGGCGGATAATCAAACAAGTCGAAAATGAACTGACAACGTCAAAGCCAAACACGAACAACGACCAAAAGATAAACAGACCACAAAACACTACAAGACAAGACCTGACCAACACAAGGTGCTCCGGAAGGGTAAAAATATCCTGCTTTCCATGTTGCGCATGTGTAATTGGTTCTTCTTGTTCCATTATATTGTATAAATCTAACAGAAATCAGCTATCTCCAAATATTTACTTGTTAGGTTTATCGTATTACATTTGTATCTGTGGGTTTTTTCATGTTATTATTATGTTCCTCATACAGTCTTTTCAAAACTATCTGAAAGTTTGGTGTTCCCACATGCTGAATATGGTACTGGTATTGGGGTTATAAAATCTTTCTTTTATTAATGCTATACATAATTATAGAGCTAGCAGATTTTTTCCAGTGTCGGTTAATATACTCCAAATACTGCAGTTGCTGGGGGTATTGGGTGGATATTTATTTTAAAAAACAATGACAATGTTTAATTCGACTTTGGTTCCGTTTTAATATGAGTTATAATCGGTTAAACAGAAAGGTTTTCATATGGGCAGATAAAATGAGTAGAAAACACAAGTATAAAATAAATATGAAATTATCATGTAAGGAAAACATTTTCTGCGTGCAACGTAGAATATTTGTTTAACATTACAGAATATATTGTTAGTACTTCAGTTGTTAATATTACTATGTCAAGAATGTTTAGTAAATATGATTGGTAGCTGTGTCAAAGCATGACATTTTGTTATCTAATTTCAAAAAGACGTAGAAGTGTTTTATACTGTAAATAATGTACTTATATATTTGTTTTATAATAAACAAATTTTCTATAATGTTTCAATGTTACAGTCTCTTATAATTCTGTACAAAATGGCTCTCTAAACGATATCTATATTTTCCACTTAATTTAAATGTTGTGTTATATATTATTGAGAAATGGGACAGTGTAATGATCTGGCATATGTTGAACTTTAGGAGGGATTGATTAAATAAAATTCGATCCTTTGAAGGATGCTGATGTTAATACATACTCTCTTTTTCATCGACTCCTCCTTACAAGGGGAAGGCAATTCGAACACAGATTGGTCTGTTATGCCACTAGTTAGTCCCATGAAACCAATATTGAAGATGCCATCGTTTGTTTGGAAACCTTCGGATACTGGTGCGCATCCTTTCGTAGTCAATGACATGGTCAAATGTCCTGCATCAAATGGAATATAGTACGTGTCAACATTGAGCGTGTCCTCTCCTAAACCATGATAGCTCGACATTACCTTTGAGCTAGCTGTAAAATGAAGAGAAATAATGTATATACCTTTAATATACAAAGAAACCATGATTAAGTATTTATATATAGGAAAAGACATGATGTATATGAGGGTCTAGATAGGGTTTCCAGAATAGAGAATAATGGGGAAAAGTGCAAAATAAATGGCTAAAAAATAAAGAATAGAGAAAAAAGGCCAATAATATAAGGAATAGGGAATAATTGAGCGCTAAAATATAAAGAATAGATGATAATGGACAAAATTTATGAAGAATAGAGCAATAGAGCTATAAACAATTAAAGAGTTAAGAATTGAAGGACCCCCTATCCAGACCCTTGTATATACCATTAAAATACAAAGAAACCATGATAAAGTAATGATATATAAGAAGAGACCAGTAGTTTACTGATGTTCAAATCTCATGCATCGATTTGAGAAGACAAATCAATGTAACAAACAAAGACTTAGGAACTATAAAAGAAACGGTACCGGGTGCATCGACAGGGTGAGTGTATCCTGCTGTGCGTGCTTCACCCGCCATTCGTGATGGTGACCGAACAAAATATTTATGTAGTGTCGATTTCAGTCATTCTTCCTCCTAACTAAGTTATTATGTAAGGAGCAACTCATACAAATGAAGTTCATATAGTGTGAACACGATAGTAACGTATCAACTGAGATATGTTAACACCACCATACGATGGAATAGACGGTTTGTTTGATATTGCTGAGAAATGGAAAGTTGACAATTGTTAAGTTGAAATAATCACATTGTACATAGACTCTAGTTTGAAGTCCGTGTCGATATCGAACAATAAGATCAAGATATGAAGCAGACCTTCTAGTTTCTGTAGTAAATGTATCCTTAATCTCAAGTTCACTGGGATATATTACTGAGTGTGGGTTATTGAGTATAAACAAGTATTGCAGGAATAAAAAGTATACAAAGTACGTACACAGAAAAACATCTACAGGTGCCAAATGTAGAACCGGAAATTTTTACTAATCCGGAGCCATCTAACCCTGGTTGATAGTAAATTTATGTGTCACATGCTCATCGTTAATTTTTTTTTCTTTCTTTGTTGTCGTCCAGCATGGTATTTTTTATTCTTGATTCTTCGACTTATATTTTCAGTTTACCCTGTGGTATTCCTCATTTCTTTCTATTTATGCATTCATGTACCATCCTTCAAATTCATTTAATTCATCGACGGTAGAAAAAAACTACAAAATCGTTATAAGTAGATGTGATTGGTTATACACGTAGTGATTCGTTAATGGTTATTCATTGGAGTGACATTGATGCATTATCGATCAAATTCGTATGTATTTTGTTAAAGTGTCATCATTATCATCTATAGCACTTACGTGGCAAACAAATCATTCCTCCTTCGGTCCGAAACTCAAATGGTAAAGGTTTTACTGTACAGTTTCCCAAAGCAGCTTCATACTGTATTTGCTGAAAAGGAAGAGAAAGGATACTGTTAGGTGTACCAGTAACTGTTTATAACACAAAATCGCTACGTATTCTTGGAAACAACAAAAGATCTTACGACTAAAATAGATCTTAAGTTATACTGAAATGGTCATGACTTACGAGTATTTTTCATCAATTTGTTTTGTGAAATGAGTCGTAGGCTTCCAAATGCTTAGGTTTGAGGGTTCCTGATAAGGTAAATCCTGAAAAAACACTTTGGACGCGCGGAATTCATGATGTGCTTTTTTTTTCATTTTATAACCTTCTATACATGTATGATGTATGATGGTTTACTGATTTGTTGAATTCATAAATAAAATTGAAATAAAAAGACCATTTATCTTGTAATCCACTTCTTAATTGCAAAATTCGCAACAGGTGTTTTAAATGAACCAAAATGTTAAAAAAAAAAAAAAACTGCATACAAAAATATGAGGTTCTCCTAGACTTACATTATTGAAATCCTGAACAATTTCTTGGTGAATTGCATGACCCCCAACGAAGACTGTTCCAGAAAGGTAACCTTTTCCTTTAGCAGTATCCATTGCCCACTTGTCATACACAGCCTAAAAATACAAAGGATAATGATTTATTTATGGTCAGATCATATGTTTTCGTACGTCATATGAATTCGTACTATGCATGCTTTTTCAATGGAAATTATAACGTCACAATGCCATCTTAATAGCACGAAAACCCATATTACGAGGATATATTATGTTAATATCAGCTCTACAACATCTGTACTAGGCTTTGTTTTTTTTTTTAATATTTTGAAGAGATATTCTCGAAATGAGCACCTGATGCAGTAAAATTGGTATCGTTGTTGTTATGTTCTTAAAGACACATATATAGACTCCGATATAAAAATGTCGAGAACTTCATATTGCAGAAATATGATTATGTTGCTACTGTTCCTCTGGTATATTTCATTTTTTTTTGGCCAATAGTATGTCTCCGTACTTTGAATAGACATATCTACTACCAAGGCAAACTAGTAGAGAAACGAAAAATCGTTTGCCTCTTCTGATTGTAAGGTCCATAATGGGCCACACTATCAATCTTTATGATATTATAATATTTTTTTTTATATAAAATGGATAAGAATAAAATCTTTATCTTCAAGAGATACAATCATCTTTCTCCAGCAACGAACGTGAAGGAATGAGACATGCATCTTGTTGTGTTATTTAGAATTAACATCGTACGAAAACAAAGCTTTAATATCATTATTACTATTTTTTAAGATTAATAAAATGGCCCCAGACTCTAGTTCTCGTCGGTTTTTTACAGTGGCATCGACTTCACAAACAATCGATTAAAACGTCAATATTGTTTATACGACACGTTATGATTGACGTTCCACTTTACAGAAATAATGTAATCATCCTTTAAATTGTAATAGTAGAGTATACTATATTCAGGTTTGACAAAACCAACTATAAGTATTAGATACACCTTTAGGACATTAGCCCCAATGGGTGTATCTAATTAACACCAATATATTATTGTCAATGCAGAATGATATTTAACGATAATAGGTGGTTTTCACCGATTTGATCGAATATGTTATTGAAAAGCATGATAAGTGCAGGGTATCCAATTTCATTTAACGACATCTTGGTGTAAATACTTATTAAGTTGACCTGTTTTTAGAATCAAGACTTCTAACATGAAATATGTAAGTTCCAAATATAAATAAGAAGATATGGTATAAGTGCCAATGTGACAACTCTTCATCCAAGTCACAATGTATAAAAAGCAAACAATTATAGGTCAAAGTACGCCTTTCAACACGGAGCCTTGGCTCACACCGAACAACAAGCTATAAAGGGCCCCAAAATGACTAGTGTAAAACAATTCAAACAGGAAAATTAACGGTCTGATTTATACATTTTGAAATTCGCACTTACCGTAATTGCCAGCGGATTACCATTATTTTTCAGACCGATTGACATCCCAACCGTTCCCTCTAACTGTTGTGGCAGACAGCACGAATACGCTTGGCCACCAAGTGTAGCCAGACTCAATACAAGAACATATATCTCCATAATAACTGTAGAGTATACTGTAGTTAGACCAAATACGATAACCGTTTTTATACTAAAAATAAAATGTAGTTATAAATTCTCTAACTTCTATTGGTCAACATTAAAACGGATATTTCAAATTATTTCAAATTATTTAGTTTATAGTTCGGGTAATTTTATTTAACTATACGAACAATCTCTCAAAACAACAAATAGTTCATTCACTAGTAATAACTTGTAAACTACCGAAACAGTTTTATTTTTTTCTCTTGTATCTATTGTGAGTTGATGTTTATAGTACACAGTACGGCCTTCATTTAACGGCTAACAGTTGTCAAACTTGAAATAATATAAAAATAAGATGCGGTATGAGCCACAATGATGAAGCTATCCATCAGATACATAGGACGTCCATGAAAGAAACGATAGATTATCGTACGGCCTTCAACAATGAACAACCCTTATACCGTATAGTCAACTATAAAAGGCCTCGACATCGCAAAAATGTGAAACGAAAGATAATCAAACGGCATGATTTATGACAAAACAATGCCGTGTCCTAGCCCCGATTTGGATTCAATTCAAGGGTAAGCAAGATGTCTGTGTAGACAATACCCAACAACATATCCAAACAAAAATGCAAAACAATGAATTAACGTACCTAAAATTTCAAACAACAACGCATCATACCTACCTTAAACGGAAAGAAAACACGTCTAAGACTTACAAAATTTGATGCATGAAAACGGAATAAGGCAATAGAAAAGTAGTTCACCTACTTCTTGCAACATTAGTAATTACTATAATGCACTTGACTTTGGAAATTTGGAAAATAAACTTTACTAATCAAATCCACATGACCGCGATTTGCGCATGTCTTAAATATGTAGAAGGTCTTCTATTTGCTTCACACCTAAATATAGTGATTTGTCAGCAAACAAAATATCATTGATTGATTATTATTAAGACACCACACCAAAAAAGCATATTATGTTAACATGGTAACATTTTAGTCGGTATCATTCGTTATCTCTTTCATTGACACATATAGTTTGGCTGTGTCTGTAGAATTCTTATCAAAAACGAAATATCAAATACGATGATATTGCTTATAGAGCCCGTAAATTTAGATACGATCCATGTAAACTCATTGATCTTTTGAATAATCTTATTCTTAAAGGTTATCGATTTAAAACAGTAGAAAGATCTTTAAATATTGTTTTTATCGGTACTTACATTGAGTTTTTAATAATTTAAACATAACTAAGTATATATATATATATATCTATATATATATATATATATGTATATACAGTTATGGGAACTCATGATCCTACACCCTGTCGATACTGTTTACTTATAGTTTCGCTTTGCAGAAGGTCATTCGTTTCTTATGTTGTTTGTGACGTTTTAAAACTAAATTCGTTGGATGTGTACTGATTGATACTTTAAAAGTCTTGGAGAACTTGATTTATTTATGAGTTGTAAATGGCTTTGAACTAATTTCAGTGACTGCGATAATTCGTTCATCGTTGCTTTGTGTCTATTTTTTTTATGTTAGTTGTTTTTGTTCGTCGTATGGATCTTTTGATTTTTACAGTTATTTTTAGGTTGTACTGTTACACCACTGTCCCATATTAGTGGGAGGATTGAACGCTCATAAGCATATTTAACCTGGCCACATTATTTATGTGCCTGACCCAAGTCAGAAGCCTGTAATTGGTATTCGTTGGATCATGTCTGTCATATTTGTTTTTCGTAAATTGTTTTAAATTAGGCCGTTTGCTTTCTCGTGTGAATTGTTTCACATTTTTTCGTGTCGTGGTCTTTTAATTTATAGCCAGCTATACGATAATGGGTTTACTCATTGTTGAAGGCCATACGGTGACCTATCATTGCTTATATCCACTAATTTGTGAATAGTTGTCTCATTGGCATTCATACCACATCTCCTTATTTTTATACATTATATTTCAATCTACTGGAAAAGGCCTACAAACATTAATACAAGAATTAGCGCTATTGCAATTGCGACTTCTTTAAATGATTTAAGGGCATTCAAATGAACAAGAATTTCTCAGTGGTCACTAACGGAAATTTTATTGGTTCAATCCAAAATAAAAAAGCAAAAATGTTGAAATTTGTAACGACCATTTAGGAAGTTCGATGACCTCGTAGGACTGTCACACTCGCATTTTAATTTGACATTGTAATAACGGAAACATATGTGTTTTGAGATTGACGTAGATAAGTTTCAGAATAAAGTGGTATGACAAACTTTCCCTGTGTTTGTTTCACTTTCATGTCGAATTAGAAAGTTGTTCAGACCGACTGGAAAGGAATGTTTTTAGTTTGTTTTTATGTTATGCTGTTACACTACTGTCCCAGTTTAGTGGAGAATTGAGCGCTCATAAATAATTTTAATCCCGCGACAATCTTTATGTGCCTGTCCGTAAGTCTGGAGCCTGTTATTTAGTGGTGGTTGTAGATTCATGTCTGTCAAATTTGTTTTTTTTTATTTAGTAAATTGTATTGTTATGTATTAGGTTCGTTAGTTTTTTCGTTTGAATAGTTTCACATTTTTTTTATGTCGGGGCGTTTTTTTATGCAATTTGGGTTTTTCTCATTCTTGAAGATCGTACATTGACCTTTAATTGCTTATGTCTTCGTTCTTTGAACTCTGGTAAATAGTTGTCTCATTGGCAACCATGCCATGTCTCCTTATTCTTATATCAAGGGGGAAATATTTTGGGACTTAAAGGCTGTCTGTCTGTTTTTTATTATCATCTGCTTTTTTTATAAGTACCAAATGAACCAATTAAAACCATACATACTGTTTATCGTTTTAGAATTTCGTTTGTTATTTTGTACATAATTCAGGCCGTTAGTTTCTTGTTAGTTACTCGTTTGAATTTTAAACATTTATCATGTTGGCCTTTTATAGCTTGCTATGCTTCATGTCAAAAGCCGTACCTTACATCTGCGTAATGTGGTCTTTGTCGGACAGTTGCCTCATTGGCAATCATAACACATCGCCTTATTTTTATATTTTCAATCATTAACAAATGGTATTACTTTGATGCCGATCGAAAATAGACAAGTGCATTTCTAAATTTGAGTTTTTAAAAAAAATCAAAAATGTAACGGGGGGTTTAACATGGCAAACAACATCTATAAAAATAACAAGATGTGGTATAATTGCCAAAGAGACAACTCTCCACAAGAGACCAAATGACACAGAAATTAACAACTATAGGTCACCGTACGACCTTCAACAATGAGGAAAACCCATACCGCATAGTCAGCTATAAAAGGCCCCGAAATGACAAATGTAAAACAATTCAAACGAGTAAACTAACGGCCTCATTTATGTACAAAATAATGAACGAAAAACAAATATGATACACAGAAACAAACGACAACCACTGAATTACAGGCTCCTGACTCTAGTTTGCATGGTGTGCTGTAGGAAGGAGTTCACGGTAACAAGAATCTCATTTATATATATTTGATTAACCAGGATGATTTTGCATCTAGAAAAAAAAGGGAAAATGTAAACGTTCTATATGTTTATTAGTTACTAGTAGGATGACACGTGAAACTGTAAAAAAAAAAAAACACTTTTTCAGGTGCATTTGAGACCAAAGTTTCTTAAGCCAAATATATCACACCAGAAAGACTAACCAGAACATCATGAACCTTTCTTTGGCAGAATGCATAGGTTATGAACAGAAAAAAAGAGAAATGAGGATGTTTTAAATCTTGCCTACACCAAAGTATCAAAGGGTATTCGAACAACAGCTGTTCGACGACGACGCAGTGATAGCGGCATTAGTAACAAAGCTATGGAAGCGGGAAAAGGTTAAAGGCAAAAAACTAAAAGCAGTACATTTCACTCTTGTGAGAATGAAATTCACCAAACAGACATAATTGTGTAAGCTATTAAACAGTATATTTTGAAATAATTGTAATTATACAAAATAGGAAACATTTAACCGACAATGTTACAGTGTTAACCTGACATGATATTATTTCAATTATATATTGTAATGATAAAAAAAACAGAAAAATAAGTATATTACGTTATGTCATAGAGCACAAACTGTAACGATTTCAAAGGTCATGAATCCACTTAATTGTACTTGTATATGTGTCTTTTTAATGCACAAACTATGTCATACAATATACCAGTCACATTCAGTTCAGTTAATTGAAATATTGTCATTTCATCTTATCTCAAAACTTTAGTTTTGTTTGGCGAATTCTGATACTTATTTTTAAAGCATCAAATATTTATACTAATAGGAAAAAGAGAGCTTTTCTTCTGATGTTGACGTACTATATTTTGGTAAAATCTCCTATATTGTTTTGATTATTTGACGCTTTCTGAAGTTTAGCTTTCGACTTTAAATAGTAGTGGGGGAAGTGGCGGTTCTGGCGACTTTTTGCTAATGTTAACCCTATGGGGAAAAGGTAGCCTCCTGAGAGGTAGCCTCCCGATGTGAGGCTTATTTCTATGACGTCATTTTAAGTTATTATGACATTAATTAATTGGTTTTATTATATAATGTACCGGTGTTTATCATTTTTAGAGTATGTGTGTGTATTTGTGTGTATCGATTCAAGGTTTTGTCCATATAAATACGAGCAAGGAATTATCCAATATGATCCTCTTTTTGTGTGATTGTATTCCTATTTTTTTTTAAGTTTCTGCTTCTCGGTACCACACTAGTAATGATAACAACAATAATTTATACAATATTTAATGTCCCCATCGATTCAGACAGACATGGGTCGGGGAGCCATCCACATGTTGTCTTTACAATATATATAAAGAATAAAATTATCTATAACTATTTTATACATTGAGATAAAAAAATAGAGAGTCGCATATCACTCAACAGTATCTCTAACCTCACGAAAGGGCCAACAGTATGCTATCTTTCGTGCAGGGGTGTAAACTGTCGAGACTTGAAGTTAGTCTTTCCGGGATAGTTAACTCTCTCAAATATCAGATAAATCGCGAGCTTTAATCCAAGAGTAGAATTTCTTTGGCCAGTG